TTCAAGTCTGCTGTCTAGTTATATGCTCGTATGGAAGTGGATGCTCATCACATTGTTACTTCCAGACTAGATGGATGGAATTATTAGGAGAAACCAGTGAAGTTACAGTCAGCTATGTGTGAATGTGTGATGGTTGGCTCGTGGGTGCTTGACGAAGTTTTGGTGGCCAGCGAGGAGGCTTAACCAAGAGGATTGTTGCAACGTTGACTAAAAGGGGAGGGTGTAATGTAGAACCGTGATCATTGGCTTGGCTTTTGGTTTGAGCTGCTAGAGCAGCGGAGGACACTGTCGCTGTACTTCCGCTGAGCGGTATAGCTTCCGCGTTTTGTCAGCAGCCTTACGACGAAAGCACAGATACTGCCCTATCATTGGGTTTTCGTTCGCCTGAGGGCAAGACTTAGGCATTGGAATAACCTTGAAATGATGATTTGTGTACAAAATTCTTGACTTTCTTGTACACTGGCTATAATTTAAATTTAGCATGCATTAAGTCCAGCATTTTGGTGGCATTGAGACCCGAGCCACGTATGACGATGGGGTCCTGATATGCATAGAGATGATTAAATTACCTTAACCACAAAAATAATAAAAGATTTTTCCTTAAATTTGCTTTGAGTTCTCATGTGGTCAATTAGCTGCATTGCTTTAGTGCGTCAAGGCAGCCCTTTAGAGAGCCTTTCGGCGCCAAATGGCTAAATTTACGCCACAAATACGCTTTACCTAAATGATGAAGATTAAGGGTGATTGAATAATGGCCGCTCTCGCAATCATCCATTCATTTTATGCATTATAATACTCACCGCCTAATGAATTCGAATTTGCATGAACATCTTCCGAGTAACCTATTCTTCTCTCCCTTTTGTATTTCACTCAATATCTCTACGATTTAATTTAATAACCGCGTTGCTAATTTGAACTACCTCACTTTCGGGATCAGCTATTTTTTAAAAGCAACGGTTGTCATCAACTATTATGTATCGCGGATAAAATTGCTTCAAAGGTTTCAAGAGGGGTTTCTGCTGATCGCAAATGCAATGTACTTGATTCAGGATCCAGACTGATTCTCAAGCCATGCTTCGAAAAGTACAATTTTCATGCCCCAACTTCCATTTGCTCAGGCTTTGGCGCATGCAAAGGAAGCCCATAGTGGTCTCTGTTCACTACTGTAGTGATTCTAGCTGTAGCATTAGACTGACACCCTTTCCTCCAATTCATGCAACTTGACTCATGGAATTCACTACCCTTATGCCCTCTTATGGGCGTCCCTCCTCCATTCGCTTCGAAGACTTACATGTTCCTCTCCTTCGATTGGAGAGTGAAAATAATCACAAACACTTGCTATAAGAAAAATCCAACATTAATTTCCAGAGTGTCGAATTGTCAATCCAAATGGACCTGAATAAACGATGGAGGAGAGGAAATTAGTAGAGCGTGTACTGTGACAGAAGTCTCTTGCTCGTCCCGTCATGCGACGCTCCTTTCTACGCCATTCGCTTTATGCCATCAATAGTATTTTGGCATAGCTATAGGCCTGTGCAAGGACAGACCGAGTGAGGCGCTGACCAGGGCGCGGGCGCACTTCTGTCAAGTTAGCAGTCAAATTACCACTCGATATTTTGACTTGGTAAAAGTAAGTTAAATAGCTTTAAACACATTTACAGTCACACGTCCAAGTAACAAAAAGTGCGCATGGAACCAAGCAGCCAGGTGCTCTTGCGTCTCTACTATTGCTCCGAGCTATGAAGCCAGGTGATTCACAACGGGGAAACTAGAACGCTCAGTGTTCAGTATAAAAACGACTACATTTCTTCTCGCTGTGGGTTATTCTTTCGATAGAATTTAACATTCTGCCCATCAACTTCCTCTATCAAAAATGCCAAATGAAAAATCAACAATTCGATATTAAAAGATAAATGACTGCTGGCAGTTCTTAGTAAAATTCTGAGGACTTTGGGTATGCGACGACCTTAGAAACCGTTGCAAGCGGAAGAATGTATAGGATGGAATCAATGTAATGACTAAGTCATGGCAATTAATTAATAATTTCACCTTAGACTTAGTTAGCGGTCTTACGGGACAATTAGACGAAACTCAATACATCGATGTGGTAAAAGTGGCCAAGTAGTAGTCATGCAAGCGGAATGGGGTGGTTCTTGCTAATCACTCTATCCATTGCCCTCTCTCGTTGAATGGATTTGTTTTACGCATAGAGCCATAAGCTTTTTTCGAGCTTGGGAGGCTTTGTTACTTAAACCGACGTATATTTATGCACGACGAAAAGCCTAAAGCTACGAACACTGCATGTACTTCCACGCCCGCAAATAGGACAGGAACGGACTCACTTCCGGACAGGTGAGTGAGTTCAACACCCATACTTTAGCTAACCTTAGGGCAAAACTATTGAAATGGAGAAAGATAATAAATGCAAGGCCGTGGGATCGAGGGAAAGGTAAATGTAATTTTGTTGGAGTAAGGAGAAATTTATGTTTTTATATTTGATTTGGAGCGTACCTACGGGAAAAAATCTATGATAGTTCAATGTATCTAATAACTTAAATCGACTTACAAACATTTGTAAAGCAGGTTTCTTTGAGTGCAATCGCAGTGCATTATTCGAACGATAGGCTAAGTTGATTTTTGCCGTAGTTTGCATGAATGGAGGATGACTGTTTTAGCAAAGATTGATGGGGTGAAAGTTGCGCAGCTATGATTCACAAATAGACTATACGATCACTTTATAGTTCAGCACTTGATTTGTGTCGCTGGTCCTATTAGTGGCGGGCCTTGATGGCCATGCCAACTCCTCCGGGTGGACCTAGATTCATGCCACTCGAAGGAACCCTTTTTTGCCGTTTGAACGCATGTATTCAGCTAAGCGTTATTTGAGAGGGGCTTTGCGCAAAAATTGGCAGACATCTGTGACGAGATGAAGCTCATTGCCTTGATAACATGCTAGTTTCTTGGTTTTTATTCAAAACTCTGAGAGAGAATATGCAGACTTCACAATAAGTAATTAGCAGTGTCATTCGCGTCCTGATTCACGAAATCCATGCACAGGTAACATGATCATGAGGCATTGTAGCTGCAAATAATTTTTAATTTAAGACAAATTAGCTGAATTTGCGTAACTGTGAATGAAAATTCTTTGAGTTAAGTAAACATTCTCTGAATGGATAAATCATGCTCCAAGGCAAATACTAAGTACGATAGTGGGTGCCTTTTCTAAATTCACTGTTGTTTTAGTAAGCATTTTGATTTTTTAAAGAAACTCAGTTGTTAAAATAAATAAAATAAATATAATTTCAATTTTACACCTATCAAACTATAAATACGCTTTGATGCAATCATGGCTCGATTGTCAAAGAAAAAATCGGTGATTACCTTTGAGCCGCGTATAACAAATTGTTGGAGAAGCTCAGTTTCTTGGGTGAACTAAGGAGAGTATGTAACCCTTCTGATCGTTCTCGTCTTAATGCTGAATAGGTCATCCGGTGTTGCGTACCGCCTATCGGTTTGTAACATTCACAGTGTACTACAATTTTTTTTCATTTCCAGACGTAGTTTCGTAACCACGCTGTTGGGGTTCGAAACACACTTCTGGCTTACTAATATGTTTTTTAGCGGCTGAGGTGCCTTGTGTCCGTTTTTAATTGTTTCTCCTTTTTGATATTTTACTAGTTTCGTCTCCCTCTTTTTGTCTATAGTAGTCTTCCTAGTCTTTTGCATCCAATGGAAACTAAGGACACCGATGCCCATACCGATGCAAAAGTTGACTCTATGGAAAGTATAGGCAATCTGAATCAGGTTCTTTATTCCATCCATTCATCTGATCCACAGGCGGAAAGTGACAGACCCTTATTTGATTGCGACAATGCCATTACAGGAGCTACTGAGAAGTCCAGGCATCCTTTAGAGATTGAGGATTCGGCTTCACAAAGAACCGCTGAGGTATTCACTAATGATGCAGATCTGAAAGAGAAGATTCTAAGTCCGCTGAGCTACGTCGATACCACAGGAGTGGATTCTCCTGATATTATTAATCTTAGCAGTGATTTTGCACAAGCGTCTTCTCGATCGTCGAAAATCAATTCCTTAGACGCTAGCGTCGAGGTTTCAGAAGTAAATAAGGAGTTCAATAGTGTAAATAGTCCTCAAGCATCGATATCTACCTCAGGAGGCGGGAATGATAACCAAGCTATTGACCCACCTTCAACACCGAAGAGATGCCAAGATGGCCAGAAATCAGTGCTCTGTAGCGTTGAGGAACCAGAAGCAAATGTATGTGCTACATTACATGGTCAGGATTGCTTGAAGACCTGTCATTTCGTAAAACTACAGTCCTCAGACTATGGAGATGGCAATATTGATTCTACACAATGTCCAATTTCTGAGGAGGAGTCAATACAATCGGATTCGTTATTAACAGAGAGCAATAGAAATGTACGTCCTAACCCAGAAAACCTCACTTCCGTTCTGAATTCTTTAACCGAAAAGGACCATGAGCAGGACATTTTAGCCTCTGCCTTTTCCTCCATTGGCGAAAAGGAAGATCCAAATCAAATTGCGATCCTTCAAGCCGAAGTTGAGGAATTGACAAAAAAATTGCTGCGCTCTCAAGAGCAAATGGAAATCCTTCTGGAGGAGAAACAGCGGTGGTTAGCGGGACGCCAACAACAAACTCAGTCCTCCGCCAAGCAAAAGATCAGTGTCTCTTCAGACACAGCTGCCATCGTGGTCAAGTTTGCTCAGGTATATTTTAACATAAGACTAACTTGTATGTCGAATGTTTGTGCTTTTCATAGTCCACCATCTCTTTACTGAGTTCTCAAAACTACTCCCAAATTTTTAAAAGTTGCAAGAGGACTTGATCATTGTTTTTCATCCAGATTATAAAATTTATTTCCAGTGAAATGTCTAACCAATGAGAACATGTTATGAAATTTTGAATTCATAGTTTTATTCACGGCACTGTGTAGTCTGAACAACAGCGAATAAGGGCCGAGGCAAAAGTAGAAGAGTTAGAAGCCACGATTACTCGTTTGAAGTCACGAAGCATCCTTACTCCCGATTCGGCCATCCCCAGCAAACAGTTGGAATCTATGGAGGAGTTTAATAAGGTACGTCCTTAATTAGGTCATGTTGTTGCTACTGCACCTTATTATTATGGGTTTTGTCTTTCCACCTTTACCACTTTATCAACGTCACTGTGTAGGGAACAAGAATTTTATGCTTTACCTTTGAAATTTTTTTGTTCAATGCCACTGGGATTACCTCAATCTCATACAGTGAATTTTTTGTTCATTGACTGGCAAGAATGGGTAAGGCGGCATCGCTTTTACAAATGCAGAGTTCTGAATAATGTAAGTTACTTATTGATTTGGATATGCAGAAATTTTCGTAGTTTTTCAAAACTAGCAGCAATTACATGAAATCTTGGCGAAACAACCGTGCTTTTCGCCTACTTGAATAGAGTCGACAAATTTATTTGTGGAGAGTTTAGTGTGTACTCGTGATTCACACTTTTGATAAGTCTTCTCCATGCTACAGTTCTTCTGTCACCATTTATTTCATGGGAAGTGAAAATTGGATGCATTCTGAATCCTGCCTTCGAATTGTCCTGCTTTCGCTACTCTGCACATCGTGTATGCTACTGATTGCACTTTGGTAGTTTGTATATGACTTTCTCGTGTGTGCAGGCCCTCGTGGAGGCTCGCGAGCGGGCGGAGCATTTACGGCATGCGTTGCGACAAGAGGAGACTCGAGTAAGCGATCTTAGCTCAAAGTTGGCTACCACTCGCGAGGCCCATCGGAACGAGCAGAAACGCGCCGCCGGACAGGCGGAAGTAATAAGTAAACTCAATCGCGACATTGATTCCCTCAAACGACAGCTCCAAGTGAGGTTGGGCTTCTCTATATCGGGTTTGTGTCGTGTAAAGTTATGGCAATAGCGAAAATAGATCTTTTATCGGTGACTTCTCATTCCAGTTCTGCGATTTTGGCATTCAACGATTGCACTTTCTTTGTGATGTATTTTTGTGCTGATAATACCGATATAATACGCTTCATCGATTGTGTCACTGTCAAGCACCCCGTATTTCTCTAGGAGGCAAACAAAGTGCGAGAGCGAGAAGCTAAACGACTGTGTGATGAGGTTGCTCTTCACGAGACCACGGAGAAGTACAACAGGGCCCTCTCTGAAGTGGCTACTCTTCAGGAACGCATCGCGCAATTGGAAGAAGTGGAAAAGTTCAAGATGGAGTTAGAGAGCAGATATGAGGCGTAAGACATTCAAAATCTAAGGCAACCCTACCCAAAACTACTAAACCACTAGGACTGGTAATGCATAGATTGTTATTAGCATGCCCTTCGATGCACCAATCTCCTCACTAGAGTCTCACTTGTTAGGGTAATTTAGCCTGGCTTAGTAGGACGAAAGAAATGTTTTGTTAAACGTTCAATCATTTTTTTACACATAGGAACGGAATTTTTGTTGGCTTATACTGAGAACTGACTTAGTGAATTTGCTGCCTAATTTGCGTCAAGCTTAGGTATTCTTTTCTGCATAGCAAGTGCCCAAAACACGTGTAGTGAACAGATCTTTTTGTCTACAGGGTATTTAAGCGGTCAAAGGTTGAAACCTTGCTTCTGCATTTAGTTGCACATTTTATTATAAACCCTACGGGCGACTTTTCCTAGTGCACCGGATCCCGCTTTTTTCATCACTAGAGCATGAATTTTGGCTCCTTACTTTTCCGGAACCTTTTCCAACGGTTGTGTATTTTATTCTTCGGTTTTGTTGCTACAGTTTCCTTTTTTTGGATTTATTTGTTTATAGTTGGAAGTTTTTGTTCAATGTGAAACTAAACCACTTTT